TTGTGATGACCATCTCTCCTTGCTGCAGAGAGCAGACATTGCCAGCTTACAGTTAACAGCAATTTCTGATGTGGTCTCCCTCTACGGGCCCGGCAACCCCCATGTATCATCACATAAACATGCCCCCTTAGGTGACCATGTACCATACATATGACCTGTATGGCCCTACAGACTACCACAGCATAAAAGACAAAACTGTTACCAAACTATTACAGGCTGTTGGTCCAGCCCGGTTGCTGATCTGACCTGAATTTAAGACCAAGTTCACTGAGAAACCTTTTTTTCATTCGTTATTTTTTAAATTTGATCAACCTCTCTGAATTTCACATGCAGGCTAGACAGGAAAATATTCTTCTACACCTTTAATGAAGGGAAGATTTGACTTATATATGCATGAGCACATTGAATTGCCTCTGTGTATGAAATATGCTATATGAATACAGGTGCCTTGCCTTGCCTATTTGGACAATTACGTTTGTTTTGGGGCAACAAGGAACATGTGTGGGGACATCCTGTTCACAAAGACACATGCTTTTCATTGTCCCTCATTGAGTTAAATGAGCAGTGTGCTTTTCCAAGATCACTCTTCTGCAGAGTGGCTGAGCTGTGACTCCTGCAATCAGATGCAGTAGTATATGGCTTTTGCATCTCCAAAACCACCACCTTGAATAAAAGGTAAGTTCATTTCTAAAAGGACTTTTAGTGTCTTATTTTTCACCTAAAAACATCTCAACACATCTTTTAGAGGCAGAATAATAGTAAAACTAACAACTTCTCACTTTCTGAACTCACCTTCATTGTAGCATCTGATTGTTGAATGAAAGGTGGGAAAGAAACAAAAAATAAAACATTAAAATAAAAACTTACAAAATGCCATGAGAAAAATAATTCTGTTGCCTCCCAGGGCTTCAGTAAAGATTAGTTTTTCTTATGCAATAACAGGACTTTTAATGCTGGATTAGTTTGTAAACCAGCAATTCTGTTATTTTGTTTAAGATGATTATTGAATCTTAGCTCAGTTATCTACTATTTTGAAGCAAGTCAGGCCTGACTGAGAGGTGCCTTGTGTGGGAGGTGGTGCCCTCTACTTGCTGAATTCAGAAACAACCAGTTTAGTATACCTCCTGTTGTTTACTCATCCCACCGTTCCAAACCTATTTTCACAATGACAACCTTTCTTGTGACCAAGACAAGAGGGCCCCCCAACTCCAACTCCTACATGCATGCACACAATTATAATGGAATAATTACAAACTTTATACAGACATGCAGAGTGATGCCATTTACACAGAGTTGTAATGGGTGTGTTATCTGGATTTTATAAATGTCATTTTCACTAATATAATCTTGGTAACCTCAGAATCTCAGCACACACAAAATTGTGGGGACACCCACAAACATGTCAGGGATCCCAGGTTGGGACCCACTGTACTAGCCCATCTGACACCCTCACACGTCCCACCACAGATGTGAGTTGAGAGGCAAGAACAAACAGAATTTTTATTCATTCAATGAGTTTAAGTTAAAGATGAAGTTAAAATGTTGGATGAACAGATTCACAAAGAAACGCCACTCCAAATCTCCTCTAGCACATCCAGCAAGCCTCTCCTCTCTTAAACCACGTAGGAGCTTTTTTGTACTTTTTACTTCACTAAAAGTCTGAAGAAATCAATCATCCAGAGTGCATTTTTCTTCATGAAAAAACATTTGAGATCTAAACTTCATTGTATCAGTGGCAGTTGAGACTTCTGCCTTGCTTGTTGAAACAAATCTGTCCTGCACCATGTTGGCTTTTCCAATTGTCCTCAGCACGAAGGAATGAAAATTAAAGGTAAACAAATAAAAACAAGATGCAGCGCTGGGCTCTTTGGGATGGCTGCAGTCTTTCACCCAATAACAACAGCTAAGGTTATTTATCTTAATTTGGCAGCAGGAATAATATGTCTACACATAATGGCAAGTATAACCAGTCTAATTGAATATAATTTGAATACCTTTTGTTTTATTGCTCGATGAGCTTTTTGTTCAGACATTTGCCCCTTCACTACTGTTCATTAAACTGTAAATGCCCTGCCCTGATTGGATTACCCTCAGTGTCTCTTCGTCCTGCGTTGACCTTGTCGTGATGTGGCAAAAGCTTATTGTAACAAGTGGTTAATTTGTCTTTCGCATGAACAGCATCAGTGCCAAGGAACATCCTTTATCAGATCACACCATTTTCATTGGAAGTGTCAGTTGTCCGATAGGTTGGTTGTTTTGACTCATGTCAGTTTCCATCACAAAGGTTGTAGGGAAATAAAATGTAAAAAATGCAGTGGCAGCACCAATCCACCTATCAATCTTGCGCTCCATCTTTCCCTCACTCATGAACAAGACAAGAATATTTTGTGTTTTCTGATTTTAATAAGGAAGGAAGCAGAGTCTGGGGACTTTGGGTAGGACTCTCCAGTCTGTGAGGCCGAGGTCACTGAGGTGGTCGAAAAACTCCTCGATGGCAAGGAGATCTGCCCGTAGTTCCTTAAGGCTCTGGATGTTGTAGGGTTGTGTTGGTTGACGCGGCTCTGCAGTATTGCATGGACATCGAGGACAGTTCCACTGGATTTGCAGACTGGGGTGGTGGTTGTTGGATAAATTATGGATACATTGTGTATGATTTTAAACGAAATGACATCCAGCCCATTTTCCCCTGGCAACAGACAGACGTTTGACCTTGCATCTCCCAGTCCTAGCTTATCAGTAAGAACGCCCTGTGCCAGCGCCTGGGTGTCTCCCTTTCGACGTCTAAAGGAATGTGTAAGTGTGTGCGTTTTATCATCTCTGTGTGTCTTTTAATAAATCCTCTTGAGAGGGCTTTTGTCCGCCGAGAGCAAAGAGACCACCGGCTCATGTGTATCATTTTATCTCTCTCTCTCTCCACTTTGGGAAATCTAAATGTTTTTTTGTTAATAAGATTAAAATGGGTTAAATTGATCAGCTTGATAATAAAACCCCTGCATGGTGAACTTTCTCTTCAGGTAACCCTGGATGGCAAAATGAAAATACCTAACAGTGGTCCTCGTATTTAAAAAAAGGGACTGCAAAATGTGTTCCAACTGCAGAGGGATCACACTTCTGAGCCTCCCTGGTAAGGTCTATTCAGAGGTTCTGAGAGGAGGATCCATCGGATTTTTGAAACTCGGATTCAGCAGGAGCAATGTGGTTTTAATCCTGGCCGTGGAACACTTGACAAGCTCTATACCCCTAGGGGGGTCCTGGAGGAAACTTGCCTAACCAATGTGTTTTGTGGATTTGGAGACGGCGTTGGACCGCACCCCTTGGGGGAAGCTGTGGGGGGTACTCCGGAAGTATGGGGTACCAGGCCCTTTGATAAGTGCCGTTTGGTCCCTGTATGACCGGTGTTGGAGCTTGGTCTGCATTGCCGGCAGTAAGTCGAGCTCATTTCCAGTGAGAGTTGGACTCCGCTGGGGCTGCCCTTCATCATCAATTCTGTTCATAACTTTTATGGACAGGATTTCTAGGCGCAGCCACTGTGTTGAGGGGATCTGTTTTGGTGGCCTGAGGATCAGGTCTCTGCTTTTTGCAGATGATGTGGTCCTGTTGACTTCATCAGAATGTGATCTCCAGCTATCACTGGAGCGGTTAGCAGCCGAGTGTGAAGCAGCTGGGATGAGAATCAGCTCCACAAAATCTGAGACCATGGTCTTGAATCGGAAAAAGGTAGAATGCCTTCTCTGGATCAGGGATGAGGTCCTGCCTCACGTGGAGGAGTTTGAGTATCTTGAGGTCTTGTTCGCGAGTGAAGGAAAAATGGAGCGTGAGATCTATAGGAGGACTGGTGCTGCGTCAGCAGTGATGCGGGCATTGTACCGATCTGTCGTGGTGAAGAGAGAGCCGAGCTGGAAGGCAAAGCTCTCGATTAACCAGTCGATCTATGTTCCTACCCTCACCCATGGTCACGAGCTTTGGGTAGAGACATAAAGAACGAGATCATACATGTGTAACATCTGAAAAATGCAAGCTTAAAGCCGTACTATGCAACTTTTTCACATTTTAAAATCCTTTTCTTGAGCCAGTATGTGCTAAAATGGTCTTTTACAGGGTTAATGGAAGTCTTCCCTGCCCCTATTGCCCCCTGTGGCAAGAATATCTCACTTGCAGCTTCACAGTTGCCAGTTTTTATTTTTAGCGGCATAGAACTAACCTTTTTCAGGATCAAACAACTATTATTTGTTTCAACCTGCAAAACTCCATCAGCCACAAACAACTCCACCAGCTTCCAGCAGACGCTCAGAGTGTATCTCTTGACCAGCAGAGGAAATGGAATATTACATCTTGTTGAATATCTTTCATATTTCATTGACAGTTTAATATTTATGACCACTTTAAAAAAGTTTACAAAGCATTGGCTTACTTTTGAATTGCTCTCACTAATTGTTTGCACAATTATTTTAGGGTTAGGGTTAGGTTGAATCGCCTGCCGTCTTTGACTGATTTATAGCTTCATGTCATTTAAGATATTAATATTTTCAGCCATTTCACTTATGTGAAATTTTTTGAACTAACCCCCACTTCTCTCAGCTCTAAAGTAAACACGAGTGTTTTCTGTTTAATCTATTTTGATATTGTAAAAAAAAATTCATTTTTGAAGTTTTCATAATAAAAAACAAAATGTCTTGCATTGACAATATTTATATTTGAATTGTAGTTTAAATTTTGACTGGACTCCTAAGGTTAAAACCAAAACGAGATTGAGGTAGATTGAGGCGGAAAATCATTTGGTGATGCAGACTGTGTCAAGCAGCACATAATCAACCTTAAGGTCACTGTCCTGTGATGCTTTCTTAAAGTCAATTATGAGTCTGCCTTGAGCTGTTCACTTCCTTAAAATCCTCCCCTAATCTAATTCTGTTAATTTGCGGATAACCCCGAGTAAGTATAAAACATCCAACTGCAACATAAACTCCCTGTGTAGGGTTGGCTTTTACCACTCTCACGCTGGTGGCTTTTTCCTTCAACTGAAAACTCAGCAACAAAGCCTGTGGCTGAAGATGGGTTGGGATTCATCATACGAGCCCAATGGCACAGAGGGCAACAACTTCTACATCCCCATGTCCAACAAAAGTGGAATTGTTAGAAGTCCATTTGAATATGCTCAATATTACTTGGTGGACTCTATGATCTACAAGCTTCTAGCCTTCTACATGTTTTTCTTGATCTGCACTGGAACCCCTATAAATGGCTTGACGTTGTTTGTGACGGCTCAGAACAAGAAGCTCCGCCAACCTTTGAACTACATCCTGGTGAACCTCGCCGTGGCCGGACTCATCATGTGCCTCTTCGGCTTTACCATCACCATCACATCTGCTTTAAATGGCTACTTCATTCTTGGACCCACCTTCTGTACTCTTGAGGGATTCATGGCCACACTAGGAGGTAAAAACTAAAGGCCACTTCATTTCATGGCCAGTTGTTTAACCTTTCTCATCTTTTCTGTTCGTGCAGGTGAAGTATCTCTCTGGTCCCTGGTTGCCCTGGCCATTGAGCGGTACATTGTTGTGTGCAAACCCATGGGAAGCTTCAAATTCACTGGAACTCATGCTGGAGCAGGAGTCCTCTTCACTTGGATCATGGCTTTGGCTTGTGCTGCACCCCCCCTTTTTGGCTGGTCCAGGTAACACTCTCAGCTCTTTTAATCCCCTTAAGCTTAATGTGACTTTAAATCATTTGGCGAACACTTTTGTACTTCTTATTCACTCAGTTTAAGACAGCTTTGTTATTTAGAGGATACATCCTGTCACCTCGTAATGAATCCTTGATGCTACTTTGTAAAACGTCACACAGGTACATCCCTGAGGGCATGCAGTGCTCCTGTGGACCTGATTACTACACTCTGGCTCCGGGCTTCAACAACGAGTCATACGTCACCTACATGTTCGTTGTTCACTTCTTCATCCCAGTATTCCTGATCTTCTTTACCTATGGGAGCCTCGTCCTGACAGTTAAAGCTGTAAGTGAAGATTAAGAAAAAACTGAAAGGCTTCCATCAACATTTATTGAACAGATTCGTTGTCTTTTCTCAAATCTCTCACCTAACTGGTCTCTGCAGGCTGCAGCTCAGCAGCAGGACTCTGCTTCCACTCAAAAGGCTGAGAAGGAAGTAACACGTATGTGCTTTCTGATGGTGTTGGGCTTCTTGGTGGCTTGGTTGCCGTACGCATCCTTTGCCGGCTGGATCTTCATGAATAAAGGAGCTGCTTTCAGTGTTCTGACCGCTTCCATACCTGCTTTCTTTGCAAAGAGCTCAGCTCTATACAACCCTGTCATCTACATTCTGATGAACAAACAGGTTGGTATACTAGTCAGATTCCTTTTTTTTTTTTTTGGTTTATATAAACCATTAAATTGCTCCTATGTCTTTGCAATTTCAGTTCCGTAACTGCATGTTGAGCACTATCGGAATGGGTGGCATGGTGGAGGACGAGACCTCAGTTTCAGCAAGCAAGACAGAAGTCTCTACCGCTGCTTAACGAATCATGTGTCTCAATCATGACAACTTTTGCATGTCTGTGTACGCGTTTCTCAATGATTGCTTTCAGGATTCACACGAGCCCAATCAAAGAAAAGGAAAACAATTTAGAACTGTTGCCAAATGAATTTATGGATTCAACCACTTCTGGATCAAACAAATGAAGGACTTTAGTCTAATCTCGTTACATGTGCAACCAAATGAGTCTACCATGACTGTGGGGGTTTTCTTACACAGCTTTTGCTCAATGTGTGGCTGCGAGCGCAGATGTGTGTGTGTGTGTGTGTGTGTGTGTGTGTGTGTGTGTGTGTGTGTGTGTGTGTGTGTGAGAACAAGTGAGAGAGGTTTTGGTTGAACTTGAGAACACGTCAGCTCGAAGCAAAGGCTGGAAAACACTGGAATCCTTCAGCTGCTGAATGTACAATCAGATGTGGAACATTTGCAAGGGACTTTACAGGGGTGACCAAGTTTAACTGGTCTACTAGTGAGATTATTTTTATGCAATTCATGAAAAAAGAAAAAAAAAGATGTAAATAGTCACAGTTAGACAATAAATGCAAACATAAAGACGATGGATTGGTGTGTTTATTGGCATTAACATTTTCTTGTGGCTTTAACAGTACACTGTTAAATCTCAATTATTTACAATCAGAAGGAAACATTCAGTTGGGTCGAACATGGTTTGTTTCCAAAATAACAATAACACAACATTTACCTTGCAGGTCACTAGATTTAAAATGATTACCATTCAAACCTGATTATTGCAAAGAGAAAAATAGACTTACTTGTTGAAACCAGCATGCACAACTGCAGAACTGGAACACAACTAACATAACTGTCCCTTCCATACACCTAAAATGGTCTTCTTGGGAGCTCTTGGATATGTCTCTTTAAAACAAATAGAACCAGTGCTAGTTCTGTGCTAGTGCCAGAGCTAATGCTCAGCTGGTTCTTTAAAGGAACTGGTTCTTTTTCCACAGGCTAGAGTCTCTGTCGGCTGAATACACATTCAATTTTGTTGCAAAGCATGATACTCTTGATTTTTGGATTTATAATATAGAAATACACACACACACACACACACACACACACACACACACACACACACACACACACACACACACACACACACACACACACACACACACACACACACACACACTGTATGAACAAATGTACTAAAGTACATTTATATAAAAATATGATGACAAACGACGCAACTAACAACATAAACAGGAAAATTTAAAAACCACGTGATTGGAAAAAAGCATGTATAAGTAAAAAGATGTGTGTGTTTATTATAACAGTTCATCATGTCAGTGTTTCTACCGAGCGCTTTCAGTTAGCAGAAAGAAGCTGATGCTGCCCTCCGCAGGTTATCATGGGAACAGCATCTGGCACCACAGCAGTGTGGTGTGCAATTTGTTCCATTTGAACTTAAAAGAGACGATTCTACAGAAACTATCCACATCGCTAACACACCACCATGTCCTACAGGACTAATTACTGTTAAACACACACTTCTTCCTTACCCAACGGGCTGTCTAGATCCTGATGGACCCCTTTATTTCCAGCTGATAACCTGACCCTAATTGTCAGGCTGTGGATCCATGCACTGTAATTTTCTTCAAAGAGGCAGTTCTGGACACCTGCATGTGCTTAGCATCTCTGTCAGGGGGGCCGGCAGAGCCGAGTGTCACCTCTCTTTGTTCTAATTGCTCAGATCAGATGGGAGGCTGCACGCAGAGCCCCTAATAACAAACCGAGTGCACTGCAGCCATAATGTGAGCTGTAAGGAAGCCTGTATCAGCGCAATGTTTCCAGTAGCTGCAGCTGTTAGCAGGAGATTCAGAGAGTTGGATTTTATTTCAGCTGTTATCTTACAATCCACAGTCGAATGGGCTTTCAGGTTATTATTTTATTATTATTATTATTTGTGACTGATAAAAAAGAAAAGAAAATTAACATTAATAATCCAACGTTTTAACTTTAGATTTCTGCACAAAACACAACAAAACTTTCATGCCTACTGAATGCAGAAATGTGGGCACCTTTCTGCTCTAAATACCTGATTATGCCGGGTGCTCAGACTTAAACCAACCTTGTTTCCAAAAAGTGTGAAATTACCAACAAAAGTTTGACTTTTTACAGCTTCACCTATCATCAAATAAACACTGTGGTTCCTTTTAAGTCAACGCTTATTTAAACATCAAAATCAACATTAAACAGCAAAAAGATGAAAAGTAAGCAATAGAAATAGAGAATTTAGTTTTTTTTAGCTAAATCTTTTTTGTATTTTATTGGAGACAGAATACTTTATCTGAGTGAGAACTCTGGATGTTTGATGCTGCCTGATTGGACAAAGCTGAGGAAGAAACAGTGACAAGTGCAATATGTCTCTTCCTTATCAACCATCTTCCATGTGCAGGTTTAACACCATCAGTCTTTTATATCTACTTTTTTTTGGCCAAACAATAAACTATTTGTACACTTTTGTGTAACAAACAGAAAGTTACTTGACATAAAGTCACACACTACCTCTGTTTTTCAGATATTTAAAGATTTTATGATTTCTGTTCAGTTTTTCATGAAACAGTCATTGGTTTCTTAAGTATATTGATTCTAATTAGTGGTCTGGTTTGTCCTTGGAGTTTTTGGCTTGACAGCCTTTTGTTTCAGGAGGTTTTCTGAGGAAAACGCTGTAATCGAAGGACAGTTCATCGAAGGAACAATCACTTCCCAGCAATCTGACTGAGGGAGCTTGATAAAGGGGTAATCCCACACTGGGATGGTAAATGAACGGTAAATGGTCTGTTTTTGTAAAGCGCCTTCTTAGAGTTCTACAACCCCCCCAAGGCGCTTCACAACACATTCATTCACCCATTCACACACACTGGAGGGGATGAGCTACGATGTAGCTACAGCTGCCCTGGGGCGCACTAACAGAAGCGAGGCTGCCGAACACTGGCGCCACTGGTCCCTCCGACCACCACCAGCAGGCAAGGTGGGTTAAGTATCTTGCCCAACAACACAACAGCAGCATTCTCTGGTTGAAGCTGGGATCGAACCTGCAACCTTCCTATTACTGGACAACCCGCTCAATGTCCTGGGATCTATCTCAAGTGTGCAGCGCTGTTCCTGTATCAAGTTTCCTCCTCAAATCTCATCAAGTAGTGTGTGAAAGCAAAGAATCAGGAAATGGTTCAGTGGATTTGGCAACAAAAGGGTCATATTTAAGTTCATTATTGTTCATTAAAATTGATACTCTGGTGTGTAATTAATACACGCTCACAGATGACTCCCTCTCATTGTTGAATTTTAACAGCATTCTGTATGATGGTCATGGTGGTAAGAAGGTTTAGGTATTAGTCTGTATTATTTTAACAGTCTTACACGTGGTGACACAAGTTCACCGGGGGGTTAATCCCTTTGGCCCTGAAGTTGTGATAATCCTAATACACAGGGTGAAACACGCTCCAACAAATGGGATTTTCCATGTTTCTTTTTCAGTGTGCCTTTGCACCACATTGGCTCTGATTTTCTCCTCAGACAGAAAGACATTAAAAATCTGACGAAAAATAGACGCAGACACACCTTTTCAGATCTTAGGAAACCAAATCAAAACATCGTTGATAAAAAAAAAAAGAAGCAACAAACTAAAAGCTTAAAATTCTTGTATAACAGCATTTTTAACCAACAAAATCAATGATGTTCCTGTACAAGTATGGCTCTTCAGGCATCTCTAATACTAGACTATTAATAAAATACCACAAAGTGAAAAGAAAACACCTCAATAACAATTAAAACAATTTATGTCATAACTTACAAAATGCATCACTGCAATTGAAACTAATCCTAATGTAAATCTCTAAATAGAGAGACTTTAGGGCTGCATTACCTTCAGGAACAGTGGTGTAATTAAACAACACAATCAAACACCACACACACACACACACACACACACACACACACACACACACACACGCGTGTGTGTGTGTGTGTGTGTGTGTGTGTTTCAGGAGAACTTAAACACTTATGTTACTCTTCTTAAACAATGCTTTTCTCTTCACAAAGTGTAAACTTCCATTCAAACATTTATTCAAAACTGCAAATAGTTTTCAATTTAAAGTACATTTCAAAAGTATTTCATTTGAATAAACCCATTGAATCACACTCAGGCAATTAAATTAACACTTAAACTGTGTTCGTTTGTGAAATCAACACAAAATAGTTAAAATATGAGTTCTGTAGAAAGCTGAATAAAAAGAACAAAGCATTTTTTAACATAATCACAACAAATTAGATCTCAGAAACATTAAGCTTACCGTGCATCTTCTGTTTGCATCATTTAAAATAGGAATAAGTCCTTTCTTAGTGCCAAGGCCAACTGAGGGGATTTTTATAAGCTCTTTAGAGCCAGTTTGAAACTACAACTATTAACTTAGTCATCAAAGGGAAGTGAGCGTTATATTGCTTGAAAAATATCGGCAATGTGCTGTTTCAGCGTTGCTTTTCTGGAGACGTATTTCATATTGTAGTTTTGTGTTCTTATGTTCTGTCTTTGAAGCTGAAGGTTCTAGGCATTTCTATGAGTAATTAAAAATGTAATGAGTAATTTCAAAAATACAGTTCAGTTCCAGTTATTTTAGATACAACAGCTGAAACCAGCTCAGTGGCCTAGAGGTATGAGTGTTCTGGTATGAGACTTGGAGATTATGGGTTCAGATCCACGGCCAGGTCATATTTTAAAAATAGGACTTAACGCCTTCCCACTTCCCACTCAGCTTTCAGGTACTTGATTGTGTGTGTGTGTGTCTGTGTGTGTGTGTGTGGTGGGGGGGATGTAAATTACCAAATGGTTCCCGAACGCAGCCACTGCTGCAGCTCACTGCTGCAGCTCACTGCTGCAGCTCACTGCTGCAGCTCACTGCTGCCCAGAGCGTTAGTGGCGACTAATGGGACTTAAACTTTTTTATTTGTTCCAAAATAAAGCTAAATTATCCTAAAGGAATCAGTACTTATTAATACTTAGGCTCCACCCTCAGCAGGAGGGACACAGGGGAGGTCCAAGCTTGGGATCAGGGGTGGCACTGGCCCACACTGGAACCCCCACACCTCCCGAGAACCACCTTGAGTGATCTGGATGCTACTTTTATGGTTTATTTGCGTGTACAGGAGATTTTACAAAAGCACTTTAATAGTGAATAAAGACAAGCTTTTGTTTTTGAGACTTTTTTGAATAATTCCAACATTTCTAACAGCTTTACACATTATACACAATGTTTGGGGTTCAAAACTTAAGTGTAAAACATATAAACAATGTAAAGAACACTAATATTAAATACATTTTCTTAAAATATTATGTAAAAGCAGATAATCCAGAAGTGTAGTTGTAAATTTAAGTTTGATTAAATTAAACTGGTCACATCTCATTGATGAAAATCATGGGCGCTTGAGAAGCAATGCTGTTCTCTCTCTCATAAACAACAGTTTTGCCCAGATACGTATCGGGCAGACTGAAGCTGACTTGTGACTGGTTGATGCTAGCTTGTCTCTGGACATGCTTAATGCTGTCCCCCTTTGACTGAGTGAAACTATCTTGTCTAAAAAGACCAAGATCATCATCTTGTTGGTCGAAGCTGCTCTCGCTGTAGAGTCGCTCTCGCATTTCCCTCGAGCGTTTCCCAGAAGCACTCCTGGTGGGGTATCTCTGGCCAGTCTTGTACCAACCAGTTTCTTTGAAAGCAAACCAGATGTTTCCAGACCACAGGATAACGTTCACAAAACCAAAAGCCTGAAGGCAAAATAATAAAATAAGCACAAACACAGGTGGATTATTTGGGCAGTAATCTGTTTGTTTACTTAATACTTACAGCAGATGTATTAAGACGAGACCAGAGTGGCTCCTGCACGGCTGCACATCTGTTCTCCTGAGCTCTGCAGGCAGAGATGAGAAGAAGAACCTCTGTTGGGTTTGTGGCCGTCTTGATATCGGTGAGACTTTTAGCCCAACAGCAACTGCTGACCAGCCACATCAGGGAAAAGATGCCAGTCACAACAAAATCCTGCTCCGGACAAGAAGATGCAAGAAAGTCATGCTCAGCTGGAAATGATAAATACACTTCCTGTTAACAATCAGAACACGGCTGCAGAAATGAAAACCTGACGGACCACAAGTGGACCTCTGTTGTTCTTCAGGTACTTGTTCTGGTAGAAGATGTAGACAATCGTAGCCAGCAGAGAGTAAAGGAATGAAAAGACTCCCACAGTCACAAAAAACTGAGCGGCTGAGGAGAAGTCGCCATCGAGGAAAACGACCTCTTCTCTCTTTGCTTCACACAGCGGAGCTTTAAAGTGCACCTGCTGCAATCTATGAGACACGGAGAGAGGGTTGGGGTTCGAAAGTGTCACTTTTCATATCTCACTGGTAATCTTGGAGATTATCTATAGGTCCAAAAAAGCAACAATACAAGAAATGTTTCGTATTTCTTCCTCTGGATTATTTTGTATTGTACTTTTTGAAATGCTGCATTCATACATTTTAAATAGATCACAACTATTTTTGTCTCATCATGAAAAGCCTGAAATTTCATTTATCATCATCTAATGAAAACGGATACTGCTACTCAAGTATCCTTGTTTATACTTCAAAGGAATTAGACTTGACTACTTTCTCAGACTACCCAAAAAAGAAAGTAGGAATAGCAAATAAGAGTAGAACTCAACCAGATTATGAGACTAACTGTGTAACATCATCAGGTTCAACTGCTGATGCGCTGTCATATTTTCCCTTCCTCTTCATTTTTTCTTGTTTCTGCCGACGGGCCACTGCTGGAACCTGAGTTTCCCAGAAGAACCTTTCCAAGGATCTAACAGAGCTCTCTCTGAATTTGAAAAATGAATAAATGTACCCATTCTGTATAACAGGGTTTTAGAAAATATTCTTAATTAATTATACAAAATTGATCATTTTAATATTTGAGTCAAATTAATATGAGATAAGAATGTCTAACTTTTAATCAAACATCTCCATAAATTTTAGATTTTTTTTGTTAAGCAAATATTTTACAGTCAACTAATTTATGTTATAAAAATGAGAATATGGTGCAAAAGTACATTTATTTAAGTAATTCGACTTAGACTGAGAGACCTTCTAAAGGCTAAGGAACACTTTGCAGGTGTTTTGGATTCATTAGCTGATTAGACTGTGACACTTCGAGTCCAGTATATGAAACCTTTTCATCAGCTGTAAGCCAAAATCACAACTATAACAAGTAAAGGCTTGAAATGTAAGGCTTTTCATGTAATGAGTCTATCTCTTTTATTAGTTTCTCCTTTTACGAAGGTTTACTGAAACAAATAAAATTTAGCACCATATTCATCTACAGTATTTTTGATTTTGCCTGTTTGTTAGATGAAGGGGTAAAAATGTGCTCCAGTGCCAAATAAAGGGTTAAATGCAGCAAAAACATTATTTCTGTCAACATTCTCTCCAATTTTCCTTATGCACTAAAAATATGTATATTTATGCTGCAACCTCAACAATGTTAACCCACTTTTTAATAACCACTAGACGGTTGAAGGAAGAGGTTTGGAAGCTTGACACCATGTATTATGTAAATTTATTCACCAACTTCACATTATTCATTCTTTCCAGCTGCTGTCAGAATATTTTTTGACCTAAAAGAAAATGTAAATGAACATTTTTAAATCTTATTCAACAAACTCAGTTCCTGTAATACAATGCCAACATGCATGCTGTAAGATGAGTGCAACACCAACCACCTGCAGACGCGTCTGGACTGAGAGAACTACGAGCAGAACTATGTCAGGTCAAGACTGAAGGAGATTAAATTGGGTCGGCTTCCTGTTTAGCTGTCCAACAGCCTGATTTTAAATTGGATGAGTTTCAGGAGAGAGCTGCTCCTTCGTCTGACAACAAATGAAACAGAGCTTTTCATTGGCTGCAGTAAAGCATTTGTTAGTAATCTCAGTGTGCTTCAGTTTCAGTGATTTGGGCTTTTTTAAATGTATGTTTGGTTAAAAATAAAGCAGAAAAAAAACAGATTTACCTGAACGGATATCCAAAATCAACGTTGATGCTGATGTTGTTCTGTCTCCTAGCTGCACAGTCCACTTTAACCTGGAGGTTGCCATGGTATCCTCCACAGGTGGCAAACGCGCAAATGGCAAAAATCTAGTCAGAAAAAATAATAATAAATTAGGTGAAACATACCTGTTGATTTTTTAAATGTTCTCCAAACCAGAGAGCGAGGAAAGCTAGGTTCTTATTAAATACACATCAATAAATTACATGAGTGATTATCACAGCACTGAAAACAAAACCTGAATAATTTAAACATAGGAAGATAATTAATAGAGCTGCTCGCTGTGCGCTGGAAGGAGGCCCCAGCAGTGGAGTCAGATTCAGTCAGTGTTTTGTTCTTATATTTTAATTTACTCAACCATCAAAATATTCAAACAAACGCTAAATATTTTCTACTACAGTAAAATTTTCATCAATTTTGATGCCAAATGTTGTTGAGAGTGTAATCTCTTCAGCCGTCGTCTGTTGGGGTAGTAGCATTAGAAGCAGGGACCTGAAAAGGCTCAACAGCCTAATAAAAAAGGCTGGTTCTGTTCTGGGGACGACTGTGGAACCACTGGAGGAGATAATGCAAAGAGAAAATTATGGACAACCCTGAGCATTCTCTTCACAAGACTGTCCGACAACAGAAGAGTGTCTTCAGTCAGAGGCTTCTTCAGTTTGGCTGCAACACTGACCGCTACTGGAGATCCTTCCTGCCAACAGCCATTGTAATATACAATAACTCTTTGAAGACTTGTTTATTATTATTATTCTGAACTACTACAGCAATCAATTTCCCTCTGGGATTAATAAAGTATTTTTGAATTGAATTGAATTGAAATCAGACACAAAAACCTCAAAAGTCCCAGGATATTCATCTCATAAAGCCAAAAGAAGCACATTTCACTCTAAAATCTAAAGATTAGATAATAGGAAACTTACCGGAGCAAATATAACCATACACATTTAAAGATCAAAGAGCCCAACTCCACACAGCGCCAGCAGCTGTATCATCAGGATGAGATGTAACTGATGCAGACAGGAGCAGAGCGGTTCTTCCAGTAGGGAGGGAAGGAGGGGGTGACATGCAGGAGGTGTGTCACCCCCTCCTCCCACCCACAGTCCATCAAAGAGCAGGAGGCAGAGATTTAATGGTCCTCAACCATCAACATTATCTACTGTTAAGAAATTTAAAAAAAGGAAATCTTTGTAGCTTAATGAAAAGTTGGAAGATAAGATCCTGAGTGTATCCAAAAGAATCTGTTCTGAAACTAGGGCCGCTTTAGAAACATGAAGCAAATAAGATCTGGGCTATCATATAAATTATTTGTTGGTCTGAACTAAATCTGGAGACTGCAAAGAGCCCATGCGCTTCTGAGAGTGTAGAGCAGGGGTGTCAAACTCATTTTAGCTCAGGGGCCACATTGAGGGAAATCTAGTCCCAAGTGGGCCGGACCGGTAAATTAAAAACAACTTCAGATTGTTTTCTTTGTTTTAATACAATCAATATAAAACAAGGCTGGAGCCTGAGGACAGTGTATCCAAAATAGTACAAGTACAACACCTGAAGTGTACTTGAAGATTTGAAAAAAATTAAAAATCAATAAATAAATAAAACATTCATTAGTGATTCAAAGAGCTTACAGATCAAATGGCTAGATCAGTTTCATGCAGCACTTAAAGTACATTTGACTCATTTTACTTTACATCTTTTAGCTTTCACCAGCACATCAATATCAGAAGTCACATCCTGAGTGGCAGCCAACTTCAGGATGTGATTCAAGTTCTTGTGTGAACCTTGAGCGCAGCTTTGTTTTATTTATACTCATTACAGAGAAAACTTGCTCACAAAGATAAGTTTATTTTCACTCTACATTGTAAAGTATGAAAATAAAGTTTACACAACCGTCTCGCGGGCTGGATTTAACCTGTTTGCATGCCGGATCCGGCCCCGCGGGCCGTTTCTTTGACATCCCTGGTAGAATCTTGTCACGTTGAAGAAAATTCAAATTTTTTAAAAATATTTTCTGGATTGTTCCAAAAGGAAGAAAAAAACAATATTTGTTTCGGGTTATGAAATAATAAACCTGACAGCTACAAATATTAAAACTGTTAAATACTTACAACTTTCCTTATTTAAGCCTTTGACTGTTCCTGAACTTGCAGCATAGTTCATTTATTAAAATAAATTACAAATGAAGCAAAAGATGTAAACTTCAATAACTCTTGATGAGATTTAACGTCCTTACAAAATTATTTTAGTTTCAACATTTTCATGTATGAGGATCCATTGTGAAATAAGTCTCTTGCTGACCTCTTTTGGTGAAATTCGTGTATTTCAGTTTTATGTTTTATTCATTTTAAGGACTGCTCTGAGCTTTACTTCAGACGTTAACTTGTGATTTCCATCAGAAAACACAAAGTGTAAACAACTTAGGTATGTGAGAAAACCGAGTGTTTTTATGTAGAAGGGGACATGATCTACTGTGACGGACGAGTTGGTGGAAATTGTGTAGGTGTCTGAGCTCAGCAGTTCCTTTATAAATTAAATTAAAGTTTGCTGATTTCAAGGTAATTTGATGATGATTGAATGTGACTGGGTGCCTTGTTTTATTCACAGAAAATGGATTGGTGGAGTTTTTTTTGAGGAGGAACTACAAACAAAAGGACATCTTTGTTTATCAGGTTGGAAAAGGTCATACAAGTTTAGACACCATGAGAACTCATCTGCTCAAATGGTATTAAAGGTGCAATTTGTAAGGATGACATCCAGCAGTCAAACATAGTTACTTCGCTCCATTTTTTATTCCTAAAACCACTTTTTCACTACTGTTCTGTGAGTTTAATGGATATGCACCAGAAGAGTCAAGAGACAAGCAAAGATGAGTCATACACAGTAAGTTGATAAGTATACCTACATTGTTAGTACTCTTAAGTGTTTTACGGTAGGGAGCACTTACTACAGTTATTTCGGTAGTTTGTCTGTAGCATTACAGGAAAAGTGGTTGTTTGCCATCTTGCTGTTATAGTTCTAAACGACTCATTAAAGGAAGTAAAACACCACCATTGACTCATTATTCACGTCAGACCCACATTTCATTGTAATATCGAGTTGTTGGTTGAAAAAGTAGCTTGAGATCATTTTAGAGCTGATATTTGCTTGTAATTCACTGTTAGCTCACATTTAGCCTCTAGCTTGCTTCCCCCGTAAAAAACTGAGACCTGCAAAAGATAATGATTTAATATTGATTTACATTTCATTATGTTTGTGTTCTCATTTGTTTTATCTTTGTATGTATATATTGTAAATACTTATGGATTGTCTTTTGTTAACTGATATAATGTGGTTTATTCAACCAATAAGATCGCTGTCAGTGACGCATAAAGATGACGTGACAGAATAAACCAGGTGTTCCCTGATTGAGAAGCTAAGCAGTGATGTGGCTGTGTTTGATTTTCCTCCGTCGACACGATTATTGACTCTGCTAAAAGGTTATGGGCCCAGTACTACCCGGTAAAAGGAGCCTGACTGATGGATTACCCCCGACACATTAAGAGGGAAGATCACGTTTGGTGAGCCGCCGACAACCCACACCATGAGCCAACGAGCGATGGAATCCAGAAGGTGGTGGGCAAGATTGGTATTTGACGGAGACGAGCAGAAATACAAGTTGTGAGAAACCAAATTTCTAGACCACTTACGTCTGCAAGGATTAAAATACACTATATTGAGCACCGATGAAGGTGAAGCTGATTCTGATGATGAGAACAAGAACGCGGAAGCGTACGCAGAAGTGATCCAATTCCTTGACGACAACAGCCTGTCCCTCGTAATGAGACGCCACTGACGATGGCCGCACAGCACTACGGATATTGAGGGACTACTACGCTGGCAAAGGTAGACCCAGGATCATCGGTCTTTATACTGACTTAACTTCTCTTCAGAAGACACATGATGAAAGTGTAACGGAGTATATCCTACAGGCGAAGACTATAATTACTGCTTTAAGAAACGCAGGAGAGACTCTAAGTGATGGGCTGCTGGTAGCTATGATTTTAAAAGGATTACCAGAGACATATGAGCCATTCTCTGTGCATATAATGCAAAGTGACTCAGACGTGAATTTTGCCGACTTCAAGAGCAAGCTTCGTAGTTTTGAGGATACAGAGAAAATGCGCAAGGAAGAACATGACAACGTCATGAAGACGAGACCAAATTACAGTCTCGACACACGGCAACTGGTACTAATCAAAGAGGAGACACAACGACCGGGGTGACCTGTTTTAAATTTGGCCGATGAGGACATAAGGCCAGAACGTGTCGTCAGAAGCAGTGGTGCAGCCGATGCAGGAGCGACACTCACCGAGACGCGACGTGCCGGAGAAATCAACGAGGTGATGAGGTACGCATAGCTCGTGAGGACGACAACAACGAGACCCAAGACAGCACTTATGCTTTCAAGATAAATACAGACAATAAAAATCCTGGATTCGGGAAGGTGATTGAGATTAAAGGTTTGATGGTGGACACTGGTGCTACGCCGCACATCATCACAAACATCAGCGCTTTTAAGAAGTTTGACGACAATTTCCAAGGTGGGACACACTGTGTGGAGCTGGCTGATGGCAGCAGATGCAAAGGAGTTGCTGAAGGTAAAGGAGATGCTGTGGTGTACCTGATCGACAGCAGAGGGCGACAATGTCAAGTAACATCGAAAGAGGCATTGTACATTCCATCTTTCCCGCAGAACATCTTTTCTGTGAGAGCCGCAACAGAGAACGGAGCAACTACTGTCTTCAAAACAGGTAGAAACAGACTAAAACACAAAGACGGCTGAGAGGCTTGCATGTGTCAGATTCAATGTGTTCAAAACGGACTTGTGAATGTGACAGAGACGAGTGGAGGGAAAGTAAAGGCAGCTGACATCAGGAGTCTTTTAATACTCATTTTGGTCATGCTGGAGGCTGACAGGAACATTAAACCCATGTGGCAGGCTTGATGAGACGAGACACGAAACTCCCCTCTAGTGTCTATAAAAATAAAAATAGTTTCTTCTTGTTCTTTTTAATTATAAGTTGTGCAAAAATGGATTTACTTTACATTTACATTAAAGCAGAGAGAGGTAGAGTGTACAGCAGCCTAACCCTAACCCTAACCAGCCTGCCAACTACTTAACATTCTCCCTCTCCTGACAGAAAGTTAGCTTAGAAATTTAGACAGACAGCTATTGAAGCAAAATAATTTTGCTCTGAATGACGGTCTAGCCATGCTTCATAGGAGCCTCAGTAGGACTACAGGCCTGAGAGACATAGTCCCTCCAGCATGTCCTGGGTCTTCCCTTGGGTCTTCAACTTGGTTTCCCAGTTGGACAAGGCCAAAAAAATCTCACCAAGGAGGCATCCAGGAAGCATCCTGACCACATGACTGAGCTACCTCAACTGGCTCCTCTCGACGTGGAGAAGCAGCGGGTCTACTCAGAATCCCTCCCGGATGACAGAGCTTCTCACCCTATCTCTATGGGAGAACCCTGTGAAGAGAACTCATTTTGGCCGCTTGTATCCGCGATCTCGCATTAGTGAACCAGCCTCTCAAATAAAGTTTGTTCCACTCTGGTACAGTAGGTGGCAACATGTCAAGAAGAGCTTGAGATTTAAAAAGTTAATTGTCTCTGAAACTAAATGAACGTCTGACTGGAGGTGAGGATTGTTCCAGGTCTCTGAAATGGGGATAATAATCACTGATTTATGAATGAAGCAAGGGAAATCAGAGATAATCTATGTGATTAAGGGTAGTTCAGAGGCGCAGTGTGGGATGTTTCTGAGTCCAAAAGAGAGAAAACAGAACAAAACAGCTAAC